TCAATTGCCGTCTGCTGGGAGCCGGACAGCAGATGAGCTGCGGTTCCCGTCACTTCAATGTTTCTATCGCTGTATCTGCCTGGGAATCCCGTCGATCCTTTAGCCAGACCCTGTTGCGCCCCAATGCTGCCCAGGAAGCGTACGGTATTTCCGTCCCTAATTGACCTGGCCTCTTGCTGATTTTCCAATTCTTGTAGTTTGAGGAAGGCACAGGAAGATGCCGCTAGCTTGACGCCCGAGTATGTAGCTGCCAACATGGATCCTGAAGAGGCCAAGCGACTCTCTCGTGTCCGCAACATCGGTATTGCTGTACGACCCGCCAAAGAATCTTCCATTGCCGCCACCTGCTGACTCGACCCTTTAGGCACACATCGACAGCGGCAAGACAACAGTCAGTGAACGAGTCCTCTTTTATACCGGCCGAATCAATTCGATCCACGAGGTTCGAGGCAAGGATGCTGTCGGCGCCAAGATGGATTCCATGGAACTCGAAAGGGAAAAAGGCATCACCATCCAGTCTGCAGCCACTTTCTGTGACTGGAAGAAAACGGAAAACGGCAAAGAAGAAACCTACCACTTTAACTTGATTGATACTCCCGGCCACATTGACTTCACCATCGAAGTCGAGCGAGCTCTGCGCGTTCTCGATGGTGCTGTCATGATTCTGTGTGCTGTCAGCGGTGTCCAGTCCCAGACCATCACCGTCGACCGACAAATGAAGCGATACAATGTTCCCCGAATCTCCTTTGTCAACAAGATGGACCGAATGGGCGCCAACCCCTGGAAGGCCGTCGAACAGATCAACTCCAAGCTCAAGATTCCCGCTGCCGCCATCCAGGTCCCCATTGGTGCCGAAGACGAATTCCAGGGTGTCATCGACTTGATTGACATGAAGGCTTTTTACTTCGAAGGTCCCCGTGGCACCAAGGTTCGCACAACTGATCAGATCCCCGGCCCAATGCAAGAACTTGTCAAGGAGAAGCGTCAGGTCCTCATCGAGAAGCTTGCCGACGTCGACGACGAGATGGCTGAGCTTTTCCTCGACGAGCAGGAGCCCACCAACCAACAGATCAAGGATGCTATTCGCCGCGCTACCACAAACCTCAAGTTCAGTCCCGTCATGATGGGCTCTGCCCTTGCCGACAAGGGTGTCCAGCCTATGCTCGATGCTGTCTGCGACTACCTCCCCAACCCCGCCCAGGTCGAGAACACTGCTTTGGACAAGGTCCAGGATGAGAAGACTGTTAAGCTGGTCCCCTATAACTCTCTTCCCTTCGTCGGTCTTGCCTTCAAGCTTGAAGAGAACAACTACGGCCAGCTCACCTACATCCGAGTCTACCAGGGCAAGCTGACCAAGGGTTCCTACCTGTTCAACTCCCGCACTGATAAGAAGGTCCGAATTCCCCGTATTGTGCGCATGCACTCGAACGAGATGGAGGATGTTTCTGAAGTCGGAGCCGGTGAGATCTGCGCTGTCTTTGGTGTCGACTGTGCCTCTGGTGACACCTTCACCGATGGTGGCCTCCCTTACACCATGTCTTCCATGTTCGTTCCCGACGCTGTCATGTCTCTCTCGATCAAGCCCAAGCGAAGCGGCGATGCCGACAATTTCAGTAAGGCCATGAACCGATTCCAGCGCGAGGATCCCACTTTCCGTGTCCATGTCGATGCCGAGAGTGAGGAGACTATCATTTCTGGCATGGGTGAACTGCATCTCGAGGTTTACGTCGAACGTCTGAAGCGAGAGTACAAGACCGAGTGTGTCACTGGCCAGCCCCGTGTTGCCTACCGTGAGACTATTTCCCGACGTGCCGATTACGACTTCCTCTTCAAGCGACAGAGTGGTGGTCCTGGTGATTTCGCCCGTGTTGCCGGCTGGATTGAGCCTAACGACAAGCCTGACCAGAACCACTACGAGAGCCAGGTTGTTGGTGGTCACATCCCCGACAAGTTCCTCTCGGCCTGTGCCAAGGGTTTCGAGGCTGTCACTGACAAGGGCCCTCTACTGGGCCATAAGGTTATTGGCGCCAAGATGATTGTTAACGACGGTGCTACTCACGTCACTGATTCTTCCGATTACGCTTTCAACCTGGCCACCCAGATGGCTTTCCGCAAGGTCTTCCCCGATGCCGGTGGTCAAGTCTTGGAGCCTCTCATGAAGACCACCATCACTGCTCCGAATGAGTTTCAGGGTAACATTCTGATGTTGATGAACAAGCGAAACGCTACCATTCATGACACTGATGTTGGTACCGAGGACTTCACCCTCATTTGCGACTGCAGCTTGAACGCTATGTTTGGCTTCAGCTCCCAGCTCCGTGCTGCCACTCAGGGCAAAGGAGAGTTCAGCATGGAGTTCAGTCACTACGCCCCTGCTCCCCCTCACCTTCAGTAAGTTTTCCCTCCAAAGTTGTCGATGTCACATTGCTAACCCATTCTGCAGAAAGGAGTTGGTGGCCAAGTACCAAGCCGAGCTTGAGGCCAAGCGAACCAAGTAAGGTGCAGGAAGTTGATAGAAGCGCTGTCTTCTAGTTGGAAAACGGAAAGTTTTGAACACGGACTTGCTGAGCAGGTCGCGTCGTGTTGTAAATTACGTACGGTGTACGATTTTGTACAATATTTACCATACAAGTCACGAGATGACATCAAGAGTCTACGACACATTAGAAGGAACGGCAGAGAGGCCATATGATTATGGCACGAGGATGGAAAGAGTTGGATAGACCAATCCAAAATGTATAAAATATACAAATCTCCAGATTCTACTTTTGTTCCCCATTTTGTTTTGGACAGGTATCACCTCTCCTAGATTTGTTGCCATGCGGCTAGTTACAGCCTCCCATAACGCTTCTCGGACGCATTTTACAGGCGTCGGAGGATATCGGCAACAACCTCCTCGGTGGTGGCAGAACCGCCCAGGTCAGGGCTCAGCAGCTTGCCCTCCTCGAGGTTAGCATCAACAGCAGCATAGATCTTGGCGGCGGCCTCCTCCTCGTTCAGGAACTCGAGCATCAAAGCAGTGCTGCGGAGAGTAGCGATGGGATTGGCAATACCCTTGCCTTGGATGTCAGGGGCGCTGCCGTGGCAGGGTTCGCCAATGGCGAAACCCTCACCGACGTTGGCGCTGGGGACGAGACCCAGGCTGCCGACGAGAGCGGCAGCGCCATCGGAGAGGATGTCGCCGTACAGGTTGGGAGCGACAATGACGTCGTAGTCCTCGGGCTGGCGGAACAGCTTGTACACCATGGAGTCGACAATCTGCTCCTCAATGCTGACAGAGGCGTACTTGGGGTCGGCGAGGGCCTTCTTGGCGGTGCCACGGAACAGGCCGTCCGTTTGGGAGAGCACGTTGGACTTGTGGGTGATGGTGACGAGAGGCGACTTGTGGATGCTGGAGGCACCGGCGTCGCGGATCTTCTGGCGGCGCAGGGCAATGTCACCGGCCATGGCGGCAATGCGGAACGAGGCCTTCTCGGAGATGCGCTTGATGGCCTCGGCGACCTTGCCCTCGGGGGTGTCGCGGGTGGTCTCCTGCTTGACGTACAGATCCTCCGTGTTCTCGCGGACAATGACCATGTCAATGGGCTTGGCGGCAGTCAGGACCGTCTTGACGGGTCGCACGTTGGCGTAGAGGTCGAGCTTCTTGCGCAGGGCGACGATGGGCGACGAGTAACCCTTGACGGCCTGAGTCGGGGAGCTGACGGCGCCAAAGAGGGCGCCATCGCACTCGCTCTTGAGGATCTCGACGGTCTTGTCGGGCAGGGCAGCACCGGTCTGCTCGAACGTCTCGAAACCGGCCTTGAGGTCGACAAAGTCGAACTTGAGCTTGAGGGAGGCGGGGAGGGCCTCGAGGATGCGACGACCGGCGGGGATGACTTCCTTGCCGATGCCGTCACCGGCGATGAGGCCTACAGAACGATCATGGTTAGAGCAAAGATGTGCGTAATAGCATTACAAGGCAAAGGGCCGTGATTGCATACCAATTCTGAGAGTTCGGAGAGACATGGTGGACGCAATTGATGATGAGCGGTTGTAGAAGTTTTGTTAGGCCGAGAACCGGAGCTCAGCCTGGATGTCTGAGTGCTTGGAGTTTTTGGTGGTGCGTGCAATCTTTTACCGGGGCTGGAGAGGGACGAAAAATAGCTAAACTCAACCTGGTTGCATTCGCAAGTTCGAGTCCGATTTCAAGGGTTTCATAGTAGAGTTTTAGTTATAATTGCTAATATTGACATATTGCTTAATTAGCTGTACTCGTGTCTTTGCTCCGGTCAAATGGGGTGCATTGACTGACTCACCGAGATTCCGCACAGCGTTGTCCAGGTATTGTCACACTCGGTCTCAGGCCACTTCTCCCGTCATCTGAGCTCGCAAGTCCAATAATGTCTGTGTATCCCACTTCAGCGGCGGTTAGTAGGGGTTGTTGCAACAGAGACCGTCGTCTCTGAGATGTCAGGCCATGCAATTTCGTTAACGTGCAATGGTCACGATCTTGGCCCCCGCCTGATCTCCGATCACTTTGCCCATGTTCATCTCAGTATTCGTATTGCAGATAGAACACATTAAAACCATGTCTGGAGAGTCGGTAGTACGCATCATCAGAGGCTTGAAGAGCCTCACGACTATCAGTCTCTCGTCAGTTCCCACTTCACCAGCCCCGAGTCAGACGTGTAGCCCATATCTCTTCTGGAAGAATCTCGAATTATGTGAGGCCAAGCTGGTTTGATAGATGCTTTCTTCCAATTTAGGCAGTCTGACACTACTCTCAAGGCCCCTGCCATATCTCCTTCAACCGCTGTCTATTAGGTTGCTAGCTTCGACATATGGTTGTTCCACTGGGTGTTTGCGTTTCGCTGACCGCCACCAACTGCCATCACTGGATGGAGAAGGCCCGCGCTATAAAAGGTGGCCGCTCATCGGGTTCCTGATGTTGAAGCAAAAACAGAACAAACCGCAAAAAATCAAGCTCGTCCAGTAGCTGGACGTGTGGCATATCTGTCTCAAACCCCTGGCGGGATTCGAACCCGCAATCTTGAGATGATCTTTATTGTGGAGGGATGATCCCTCCGTGAGAGTAGAAGTCTCACGCCTTAACCATTAGGCCACAGGGGCTTTGAATTGCTTGAAAAATTTGCCGCAAATGATCATCATAAACCTCAACCCTTTCTCATCACCGTTCATCTTGATAAAGATGTGCACGATGAATCGCTCTTGCGCTGGCGAGGCTGAAGGATCCGATGGCGATAGATCAAGGGATGTTAGTGGTGCTGGGCTTGTACGGTGCATGGCCAGCCAAAATATGCCGTTGTCCAGTGCGCCGTTGTTCATGCCACAAAACAGCCGACATGCGCATGCGAGGAAGGCGGGCTACAGTTACATTGGAGTCTTGAGTCGTCGCTCAGACGAAGATAGATACCTAGACTTGCGAATCTACGGATCAAAATCATCATCACAGTTTTTCTAAGCTTCTCCTCAATGCCTGTCTTTCTTCATGGGTTCAAGAGCAAAAGGAAGTAGATCAAACTTAGCCAAAAGAAAGAAGGAGCAACACTACCACGCACGTTTCTCCTTAAGTCTCAGGAGTTCCAAATTACATTGCCTTCCATACGGTTGCTCCCCCGCTGGTTTGTTTCAGAGTCTCCTTGTAACAGAAGGGATGTGTTCACTGGGCAATAACTGCTATGGATGAAACTTAGCACTGAGGACGCGATGAACCCCTACTACCTGCGACTGGAGCTATTCGTTTCGCGAGGGAATGCATTCTCCCACGGAGACTGGGTCGTTTGATGTCACGGCAGCCATGCTGGCCCAGTTGGCTGTGACCAGGGTTGGAAGATCCGAAGGCTAATGCAGATGAGGGTCCTTCTTATTAGGTATTTTTGGACATGCATCATGCATGATCCTTCTTTTTGATGTTGTCTTCTCAAACGTGTGCCGAGAGAGCATCGGGACGCTGTGACGTATGGGCCACATGGCTCCAGGTTGAGGTGGCAGTCAACATCCGGGAGGTGTTTCTCTTCAGCTGATCTGGTCCCTCTGCCTTTTTCTGACCCAATGCGCATGCCTTTCACTGACGTTCTAGATCAGTTGAGGAGCGTTGTCTGGTCGCCCGGCTCCGTTGGCCGAGTGGCCGACGGGAAACGCCAGCACCACCAAGCATTCGTACCCAGTACTTTGTGTATCGAGAACGGGATTTCCATTTCACCCTGATGTTAATTAATCCTTAGCGAGGATCCATGATGGGCTCGTCCAGGCAACCCGAGCCAATAGGCCACGGCCAGAACCATTACATACCTGCCGGGGCCTCCTGCTGGGCCCAATCTGTCATCATCAACTAGGTACTTGGTAGGGTGCGATAGTGTCGCGGAGATGGCATAATTACAAGCCAGAAAGTATTCGTACCTGTCCCGTCCAGCAACCTGGTCCGGTGGCGGGCAAACCAACGGGTTAATAATGGCTTGTCTGCTTTGGGCACAATGGGTCCAGAATTATAGGACCTCATCTCATTTCTTGGGCTTCTTAGTTGGGCGTCATGAGTGAGTGTGTCACTCTCTAGGTAGTAACCTAAGGTAGTTGTGAAGTTGGACGTGATTAAATTATCCTCGCATAAGACACCAGACTCGTTCTCATCTTCACCAAGTTCCCCTTTTGGCCATGATATCGTGCGGAGGAAGTACAAGCACCATCCATCCATCTTGATGACGCGGGCCAGCTCGCTCTTTGGCGGCAAATATGTCTGCGTGGGCGCATCTCGTCCATACGTGGCATTATCGTTTTCCACAACCCATTTTCGTGTCGTGCATATCCTGCCCCCTCCAAACAAGTCTTCCGTCCATGTGTTTGTGCCTACAAAGTACTTGTGTGTGTGATGTCGTGTCTTTGTTGTTGTTGTTGTTCATATGCCTCCGCATCAGGTACTCATGGTCTGGGATCCACCGGGTACCTGCCCAGGTACCTACCTGAAGTAAGTGAGTCCTGGGGTCGTCGGGTCTCGTCGCCCAAGCTCCCGTCCCTTCCATTCTACCCCTAACAGCCCAAGGTCCCCTCCATGGCCCATGACCTCCATAATGACCCCCCCCCTTATTTTTCTTCTGGAACAAGACTACTTCGCACGCTACAGACACAGCAGGTCCCCTCGGCTGCCCTCACCTGAATTTAGGGAGATGGAGAAATGACAGATGAGGTCCGGTACGAGTACTTGTAACTGTAACATTGACCCTCCACTGCCCAAGGTACCGTGCCGGAGGAATCACGTTTCCCACCCTCAACACAGGTACTTGAACCCCTGCCCATGGCCGATGGGAGGTACCCGCTGGACCTGGCCTTATCCCATTGCCCACTCAACTCTCCACGGTGCGGACATGGCGCATGCGCCTCCTGTGGCCCTCCGTCGCCCGAGAGCTCATAATCAGACACCCGCCTGAGCAACCCCATTTCCCGATTCCCTCCATCATTCTCGCCGTCATCTCTTCTTGCTTTTGCTACTGCTGGGTAAAGCCTCACACCTCGGACCTCACGGCATTCTAGCCTACAGGTCCCTCCCTCCCTCTCTATCCACACGGACTGAACCTACGTTACCTCCTTCTCCTCTCTCCACGTCACTCCAGCCATCCTCCACCATGAGTGCAGTCAAGAACCTCCGCGCCATGTTTGAGAACAAAGGCGATACCAGCCCTCCCGACAGAGGCAGATCGTCAGGCGCGTCCACGCCCGTTCTAGGTACGACCGACAAGCCTGCCCGAAGCATCCAATATCATTTTCTTCCGTGTCTGCGTCTGCTCAGACACTTGCACCCTTCGATGCTTTTTCCATTCCGATCCTATTAGTGCTTTCTCATCTGCAAGGGGCTCGCCTCAACTCGCCTCTTTCCCCTGAACGAGGAGCACCAAGTGCCAGAAGCTAATTCCTCAATTCCTCGCAGGCTCTAATAGCACCTCCGAATCTCCTCGACCTCTCTCCAAAGTTCGAACCAATTTTGTTGCTGTCGAAAAGGACGGCAGAATAGGCCTACGTAGAGACCAAAGCCACGAATCAAGCGTGTCAAGGCGGCGGTTAAGTATGGAGACGGACGCCGAATCTACCTCAACGGTCCCCGAAAAGCCTTCGGTGGCTTCGGACGACGTACCCAAGGTTTCCAAGCCCGTCTTTCACGAAACCATCCCCGAATCACCTCGACAGCCTCCCGAGGCCGAAAAGAAGACCGATGCAGCCCCGGCAGTCCCCGACAAGCCAACTACTCCCTTGGAGAAGAAATCTGATCCTTTTGAAAAGAAACCTGATCAGAGCAAGTCAGATGCTCCTTTGCCCTCCGAGCCTGCTCCGAAATCACCAACTAAGGGAGCCAAGGCGTTGACGCCTCCTGCTGCCGTGAATGGCAAATCCAAGATGGAAAAGCCGAAGGAGGAGAAGCCCAAGGAGCCATCCGCATTTACCCCCGTGAAGACGACTGCCGTCAAGAAGCCAATCGCTAGGCCGACCGCAATTTCTACCAAGCCAACCTCTAAGGCCCCAGCGAAATCTCCAATCAAGACACCCACCAGCATTCCCGACAGGCAACATGCCAAACCGGCTGCCAGGGCTCATGACAAGCCTGTTGTGAAGAAAGAACCTACGACTACCAGGGCCAATTCTTCTGCTACCCGATCTACAGCCAGCAGTGCCACCAAGAAGCCGCAGCCACTCAAGCCCGCGACCAGCGAGACGGGCTTCGTCAAGCCCAAACCCAAGTCTCCAACGAAGCCCGCCCATCTTCCGCCCTCTCTCATGGCCCCCACCGCATCCTCAGTCTCCAAGGGGGCACCTGCGCGCCAAACGCAAACGCGGTCATCTGGCAACACTGGAAATCTCAATGTCCCAGGCCGCCCCACTAGCAGGGCAAGCGTATCGACAACGGCGAGCTCATCTGGCAAGACTGTTAAGCGCCAAGGGTCAACTATCAACCGATCCTCAAGACCCAGCTTGGGCCCGCCTCCGAAGAAGGCAGGAGATGGTTCGGGCAAGAAGGAAGTCGCTCCAGTCGATGAAGGTTTTCTTGCACGCATGATGCGACCTACCCAGTCCTCATCCTCAAAGACGACGGATAAGGCCCCCGTCACGCCTCCTAGGAAAACGGCGAAGCGGCCCTCGCTCGGAGCTGATGCACGCCGGGACCATAACATCAAGGCCCCAGGAAGTGCCAAGAAGTCAGTCAGGCGAAAGGCTGACTCATCTGCCCTTTCTCAGTCCGCCCATTCCCAGACTAGCAGTCCTCCTCCCGCAGACGATTCCATTGTCACGTCCGAGCCTGAACACGCCTCTGAGCCTGCCCAAGCGGACCCAATTGAAGAGGTCGTGGAGCCCGCGAAGCAGGTCGAAGTAACACCCGCCACGGAGACTGAGGAGGGCATTATCGAATCTGCCCCAGAGGAAAAGGTTACTGAAGAGACCACCAAGCCCGAGACTGCTGTCGAAGCCGTCAAACCTGTTCAAGAAGAAGACAAGGTTTCCGAGGCGGAGCCTGTTTCCCAGGAACCTACTAAGACCGAGCCCGTCACGATTGAGGAGCCCAAGGATGAGCCAAAGGTTGAGGATCTGAAGATTGAGGAGCCCGACACTGAGAAGCCCAAGAGTGTAGTCGTCGACGAGCCAAAGGTTGAGACTAAGACGACCATGGAGCCTGTCAATTCTGAGCCAACGACACAAGGACCCGAGAAGGAGGAGGAGGCTCCTTCAGTGGAGGACAAGCCTACTCCTGTCAAGGAGACTGCTCCCGCCACGACTGAGGAAGTTGCTCCAGTTAAAGAGACTATCAAAGAATTCAAGGAGCCCGCTGGAGGAATCCTAGCCAAGATTGGAATTCCCACCCAAGAAGTAACACCATAGCCGAAGGCAGGAAAGGAGGAAGAGATGGACTCAGAGACGGTCTCCACCAAGGACTCGGCTACGCAATAGGTTGCGGCAGATTGATATCAAAAAGAAAAGCTATCAAGTTGGGGAGATTTTAAATTATTGTATAAGATACCTGTTTACAGCGAAGGCGAATGGTGAATTTAACTACATTTACATTGGAAGCTCATTGACCCATCATTTTGTAAACTGTGTTTGTTGGCCAAATGCTACCCATGCTAAGATTC